CATTAATTTGATGACCAACTCATATCCCTCTATATCTCCTGCCTGCAGGGGAACTGGAAACTCATCACAACCAGAATACATGTTCTAAAATAAGTGTCAAAAACTGGCTACACTGGGGGATCAAGCAGCATCAATAAAACATGCTAGACAGCACACCATCTCCACCTAGTCTACAGACCAAGTCATATATGGTGAAGGAATAAAGAGAAGACAAAGCATTTTGGAAAAACTCAGGCTAAAAGCTCTATGCATCTATTTCTCACCATCAACTATTCACACAGGGAAAGGTGTTACTGATTCTACATTTTGTTGAAATGAATGATTTTTGAAGTGCAGGACACATTTCTGAAACTATGCTGACACAGTCATGAAACTATTTTGGACCCACTCTGCTACTCAAAATCAGTTTCTTCCTTGTCCTTTTCCCTCCCCCTTTGTTACTTCTTCTCACCTTTTTTTCTTAACCATCAAACTCTTTGCTCTTTAAGGAAAGGAGGTATGTTGAACTAGGAAAAAAAGTATAGTATTAAGAGTAAAAACTGCTTTAACTCCTACTTATTTATAGATACATGTTTTCTCCATTGGTGCCTGTCACCTGTAGGGTGGGCTATTATATTTTAATAGACTAAGAAAACCCCACCGACATGCTTTCAGGCTCAGTACCCCTTCACCCTACAGCTATTACTCAACCATTCCACCCAAGCGCACTGGACATAAGACCAGTCTTTGTACTCAGCGTGAGTCTTCTCAACTAACTTAGTTGTACATGCTCTCCATAAGGCAGATATATATTTACATTCTCAGTAAGCATTGACAGAAACAGGAAAAGGCTCTCAGCACCGCAGCACATATTTGAAGTCCAGAAAGGGGGATGACTGGGAAGGTAAATCAGATTATGGGAGGGTGTTCTCATTCATAATGCCATGTGTAATCTGTGGAAGCGCGCAACACCAGAACTGCTGTTGATGTGCTGCAGGCTGCAGAGTTGGCATAGGCAAAGACTGCCTTGCAGGTAGCTGATGTGAGGTTAAACACAACCTCCCATTTACACAAAATGACACTCTACACTTTTGGGTGAATGTGATGCAGCTTTTTGGCTGTGGATAAAGTCCTAGAGGAAGATTTGGGAAAGGTGAATGTTGGTATTGGGAATCTTAACTAACGACTTCTTGCCCTTATTTGTGTCCCTTTTTCTGAAAAGAGAATAAGCATTTTGGCCTTAGCTGTGCATTAATATCACGTTTAACATGATCTAACTTCCCCATAGCAAC